CAGTCAGCTGAAGTAGCCTGCAGTGCTGCATTTAACCACTGTGCCATCTCGGCTCTTCCAAAATCACTTTTGGAAGTCACATTAATTCAATCCAGATTAAAACTAGCATTAAAATAAACAGATGGTGTTTTCTTGGCTGTGAAATAGAAGTGTTTTATCCTTGCTTTCTTTCAAGATTTTGTTTTTCAGTTTTCCACTTCAGTCTATAGTCTTGGAACTTCCAATGCATCGCCATCCAAAAACTAACCAAATTGATCCTCTGAGACCTAACTAGTCAGGGCCACCCGCTGAGGATACCCTACTCCAGAGTTTCTAGATTGCAACTATTCAGATTATTTATCTGGTCAAGGAGTAACAACCAACCAATATTTACATACTTGTCTCAGCAGAGATACAAAAATATAACAATGTAGGTGATAACTACCCTGTTTCCCTGAAAATAAGACCTCCCCGGATAATAAGCCCAACCGGACTTTTGAATGCATGCACTAAAATAAGCCCTCCCCTGAAAATAAGCCCTCCCTGAAAATATTGCAATACAGCAGCAGCCATGAGGTGATCACACTCCCTGCCTCCTGCATCTCAAAAATAATAAGACCTCCCTGAAAATAAAGTCAAGAGCTTATTTTGGGGGTGAAAAAAAATAAGATCCTGTCTTATTTTCGGGAAAACATGGTAGTTTTGGTCAGAAAAAAAATATTCACAGTAGGATTATAGGGACCTCACAGGATATGTTACCATTCCAATAACAATCAGTTTGGATCTTCTCCAGAGCATAGTTTATTACCCACCATTCTTCTCAAAGCCACTTTAACCTCTTTGTTCCTCAAACTGTAGATTATGGGGTTCAACATAGATGTCACCACTGTATAGAACAGGGCCAACAGTTTGTCACTCTCCGCTGAATAGCTGGATTTGGGCCGAAGGTACGTGATGATGCCTGACCCATAAAAGAGCGAGACCACAATGAGATGAGAGGAGCAGGTGGAGAAAGCTTTCCGACGGCCCTCAGCTGATGGGATCTTCAAAACTGAGATAACAATGTAGACATAAGAGGTCAGGATCAGCAGGAAAGGCGTGGTGATAAAAAGGACAGCCACCATATATACAGCAATTACGTTTCTGGAGGTGTCGCCACAAGCCAGCATCAAGAGTGGGGGGATGTCACAGAAGAAGTGGTTGATCCTATTGGGGCCACAGAAGGTCAAGCTGAAGACATAGTTGGTCTGACCCAGCCCCACCACCAATCCTACGGACCAGGAGGCCACTGAGAGCTGGACGCAGACCGCTGGGTTCATGATGACGCTATAACGCAAGGGGTTGCAGATAGCCACATAGCGGTCGTAGGCCATGGCAGCAAGGAGACAGCATTCTGTGATTCCAAACAAGGTGAAGAAATACATTTGGGTTGCACAACCCCAGAGAGGGATCTTCTTGCCATGCTCTGACATCAAGCTCGCTAGCATCTTAGGAACAATGGAGGTGGTGTAGCATATTTCTAGGAGGGAGAGGTTAGTCAAGAAAAAGTACATGGGTGTATGAAGGACTGGGTTGAGCCTGATGACGGTGGTGATGATAGTATTTCCAGCAAGGGACATGACATACATGGAGAAAACCAGGACGAAGAGGAGCACACGCAATTGTGGCCGTTCAGAAAACCCAGCAAAGATGAACTCGGTCACCAGCAAAGAACGATTGGACATAATTCACATCACATGATGACTCATCTGCAGGACATCAGAGGAAACAAAGAATGAAAAAAAATTATCTGTTTCTTTGTTTGCTGCTGCTGTTTAATAGAAAGATGGATTTATTTCCTTGGTGATGATGACACCCTCTCATTTCTCATCCTAGCTATACAGTAATTACACAAAAGTAAGAAGGAGAAAACAAGATTGCTACATGCAGCATGCGGAGAGAGAGAGAGATGAGAGAGAGAGGCAGACAGACAGAGGGAGGGAGAGAGAAAGACAGACAGAGACAGAAAGAGACTGAGAAAGACAGAGGCAGAGAGAGAGAAAGACAGAGAGGCAGACAGAGGCAGAGAGACAGAGAGAGATAGAGGAACAGAGAGAGAGACAGACAGAGAGAGAGAGAAAGACAGACAGACACAGAGACAGAGAACCTAGTTGTACTTTATTTTCTTGTTTAAAACAAACCATGATGGTGCAATATATGTTTCTAACTATATCTGATCCTAAATAAATCTGGGTTTTCTAAATCTCCCAGTTCCTTTTAAACCATAGTACCAGTTTGGTGGGCGGGGGAGTGTCCTGTTATTTATAAAAAGAGAAAAAAGGCATCTGCAAATTAACTTCATTCTACTGAATATTGGAGGACAACTTACCATATATGATAAAGCTAAAAGTGCTTTTCATAGGCTTCTCCCAAAGATTTTCGAAGGAAGGACTTGGCTCGTCTAACTTTAACCCAGAGTGAACGAATCACTAGATTAAAACCACTAGACCATTAAGCAGAATCATGTAGAGTTTAACAGGGCTGAAATGGTAGTAGTAAATTAAAAAATTAAAAACTTAAGATTATTGCATGTGATTGGATGCATAAAATTTTAATATTAACTTATTCCACATAGCAAATCATGATCGCCTATAAATTCCCAGTGAATCACTATCAAGTTCAGCAGATGCATTTCAGGCTGGAGCATTTGCCATCACAAGCCATGAAGTGCAGAAAATTATTCCAGCAACTTGGAATGAAAAGGAAACTATTGTTTTATGTGAGATTCTATCAAACAAACAGACTCTCAAATGGTCCTTCATGAACAATTGCAAACAGCACAACTAGGGCCTTTTCCAACAGTCAAGGCTATGGTTTTCCCAGTTGCAATGTATAGCTGTGAAAGTTGGACCATAAGGAAGGCTGAGTGACAAAGAATTGAGGCCTTTGAAACTATGGTGCTGGAGAAGACTCCTGTGAGTCCCTTGGACTGCAAGGTGATCAAACCAGTCAGTCCTAGAGAAGATCAACCCTGAATGCCCTTTAGAAAATCCTGAAGATGAAACTCAAATACTTTGGCCACCTAATGAGAAGGAAGGACTGACTGGAGAAGAGCCTAATGCTGGGAAACATTGAGGGCAAAAGAAGAAGGGGACAATATAGAAAATGAAGTGGCTGGATAGAATCACTGAAGCAATAGCCCTGAACTTAAATGGACTCCAGAGGATGGTAGAGGACAGAAAGGCCTGGAAGAACATTGTCCATGGGGTCGCAATGGGTCGGACACGACTTCCCAACTAACAACAACAACAAAGGGCCTTTTAGAACCTACAATTCTTTTTCAAAGGATTGTTTTTCATCCTGAAATTATATTAAAAAATTAAGACAGTGTACCCCTGCTCACAAACGCTTACCTTTGCCCTTACCTTTGAAAATCTGATCCGAGAAGAAAATTCAGAGAAGAAAATCTCTGGTTGGCTCAACCCTTGTCTTTCTATATTGCTGCATTCCCCATGAGGCTTCCCCAGTGAACAGGTGTACTTTCTCGCCCAGGAGTAATGACAAGTGCCCCCAAAGCATTTGGGCCCCTTAGATACTTTTCAAAACACAAACTTATTAATTTTTTTTTAGCAACCAGAATGTTGTTATTGTTTGATTTGTAAAATCCACTTAAGGAGAATGAGCCACAGAAGCATCTGCTGCCTATGTGAAACTTCTCATTTCTCAAAATGTCTTCTAAATGAAGAGGTATAGATCTATGGATGTATAGAGCCCTCTCTGTGAGCATGTGCGCCATCGCCAGCTGCTCTTCTGGTTTCCGGTGTGCGCATACACAGCTGGTCTTTGGGCGTGCCAGAGCACAGGAAAACAGCCTGAAAACGGGCCCAAAAACAGCCAAACAACAGACTGTTTTCCTGGCTGTTTTGGGGGGTCAAAAATGACCCCAAAAAACGTCCTGAAACAGCCAAAAAAACAGCCAAAAAACAGGCAAGTGCATGCCATCCAGCTGGTCTTTGGGTTTCCACTGTGCACATGCACAGCTGGTCTTTACGGATGCCAGAGTGCTGGAAAATGGCCTCAAAACAGCCCCCAAAACAGCCAAAAAGCAGACCATTTTTCTAGCTGTTTTGGGGGTCATTTTCAGGCCAAAAGCAGCTCTAAAAACAGCCTGAAAATGACCCACAAAACAGCCTGAAAAACAGCCAAAAAAACAGGCATGTGAGTGCCAGCCAGCTGGTCTTTGGGTTTCCGGCACTGCGGTGTGCATACATTCACGCATGTTCCAGTTTGGGCAACTCGGTGCCTAAAAAGTTCGCCATCACTGTGTTAGACCATTTTCAGACTATTCACAACTGAAATAAATGTCAACGCAGATCCCCATAGCTCTTACATAGTCCTTGCTAGATCCGTGGGTGCAGGAGGCAGAGGGGTTCACCGTTGAGGCCATCTTTGTTGACCCCGGGGCTGAACATGGGGTACAGGCACTCGTAGAAGTCATCCAGAAAGGTGTAGATGTGGGTCATGGTGTCAGCATCGTAAAAAGAGACTTGTCCTCCTTCATAGTCCAAATAGACCCCTACTCTCTGAGGCTTGACCTTGAGGAGCAGCTGTTTGGAAGGAGAGTCAAGGGCCTTGTACTCATTGCCGTTCCGTAGCCAAATGGCCCAAAAACCATTGCTGGGCTTGACGGTGACTTTAGCCTCCTTCCTGTTCACCGACTCCTTGGCCACTCCAATATCCCAGCTGGTTTTGTTTCCAACTTCTACCTCCCAATAATGGCACTGACAAGTAAATCCCTGGGCACCCAGCACGCATACAGTCTTGCTAAATCTTTCTGGACCATCCGGGACCACTTCTTCGGGGTTATCTTCCAAGCGTACTGTGTCAAGGTCCTTGGAGAGCATGAGGTTGGGATGATTGGTGGCAGGATCCAAGGTAATATATGAAGGGACTGTTGGAAGGAGAACAATGAGAGAGTTACCCTTATTTGACAACTTTGGAAATGTCCACCTAAGAAGTTGTAAAAAAAAAAACAGCAACCAGGTTTATGCCAAGTAGACAATTCAAATTCACATCAGTTTTCAGCAATGTCAACCAAAAAATCCTGTTATTCTCCTGCTAAAAACTAGACGAATTTTAGTGAATTTGGGACTGTTGCTTTCAGCCTCTGAACACCACATTTTTGGCCTCTGCACGCCCCATTTTCCATCATTCCAGGTGGCGGGGATCGGAATGGGTGGAAAATGGATCACATGGAGGTCAAAAATAAGATGTGGATGCCGAAAATGAGGTGTGTGGAGGCAGCAATAGGCTATGGCGATCCCTGCAGCCTTAAACAGCTGATCATCGGGAGGCCGATCCAACCAACAATCAGCTGCTTGTGCTAATCAGGCTGTGCTGAAGCTGAAACTGAAACAGGCTGTTTGTTGTTTGCTGCAAGGAGGCAAATTGCTGGGAGGCAGAGGCCAAAGGGTGGGGGCCAACGGGTGGGCTGGGCTACACTTGGGCTACACGCAACCAAATTTTCGCCCTCTTTTAGGGGTGGGGAAAGTGCCTCTTATACTCTGAAAAATACGGTAAGTTAAAAGATGGCACCAGACTGAATGGTGGTTTGGGAGCTTAGTGTCCTTAACCTTAACCTGGTTTCATCCAGGAGCTGAGCACTAGTATTCCCATCATCCATAAACATTAAGCAAACTGTTATGGCAGCTGCTTATCATGATTCTTTCCAGCCACAATGTTTTCAGAATTCATTTGAGCAGCATGTTTTGAATTGAAAAGAATGGTTCCACCACAAAACCGCGGTAGACTAAAGCGCGCTCGACGAAAGCACGTACGTGACATCATCACAGCGCGACGAAAACAGCACGCTGTGAGCAGTAAACTTAAAATTAACGCGTAAATCTAAACCTAACCCCCCCAAACCTAACCCTAAACCTAACCCTAAACCTAACCCTTAACCTAACCCTAAACCTAACCCTAACGCTTAACGTAACCCTAAACCTAACCCTAACCCTTAACCTAACCCTAAACCTAAACCTAAACCTAACCCTTACCTTTATGTGAATCGGCTTGCTTTAATTTTATTTTAATTTTAATTTAATTTATTTTTAATTTTATTTGTCGCGCTGCTGATGACGTCAGGTACGCGCTTTAATCGGGCGCGCTTTAGTGGACCGCGGTTTTGACGGGTCACGAAAAGAATGGGCTTTAGAACAATTTCAGCTGCTGAACTGTTTACTTTAAGGGTGAAACTTTTATTATTATTATTTCTTTTCTAACAGCTTTCCTATGATCTGGAAAAGAGGTGTGGCTTTTCACTGACAATGGAAAGATTTGTCTGTCTATAACAGCCTCCTGACTCTTTTTTATCAGCCTGGGAACCAACCGGTTATCTGCAGTTGATGGGAGTCAGGCAAAGCTGCAGCTTAGCTTAATACTCTAACCACGATGCCACCCTTGCTGTGATCCAGAACTGAAATGAGTTATGCACGATGAAATCACCCTGTAATTCACTCAGCTTTGTTGCAATTTTAATGCTGTTCACCCATGATACTCACAAGGTCTTAAGGCCAGCAACATCTCTCTCCAGACCATGTACTGAATAGGCCCTTTAAACTGCCCTAAATTGAAATCGCGAGAAATCACAGGAAATGGACTTGTCTTGTCCTCACCAGGGCAGTATCTGCAAAGAGAGAAAAATCAGCAAGAACTGTGCAATGCCATGGCTTGATCTTGACCGCCATCTGGTGGCCTTATCTGGGAGTTTCTAACGCTCTCAATACTACCTTTCCTTCAGCTTAAAATGATGTGCCGAGGAAATTTTATTACTGTTAGTATTGGTATTATCTTTTATTCCTTGAACATGAAACTCAGTCAACTGAACATTTAAAAATGTATCATAAATATTATTGACTGGCTCTGATAGTTGACATGGGTTGCTGCCAGCATCCTAGGTATCGGCCAAGTATCTTCTTAAAATGTATGTTTTTCCAAGTAGCACAGTCTTTTGCAGTTCCGCTGGTGTTATTGCATGAAAATTTGTAAAATTATTGGACATGGTGCCAAGTGGCCTGATGACAATGAGTATCACTGTCACATGTTTCATCAATAATCATGTAGTTTCGATGGCCAGGTTGTGATATTTCATGATTTTTTTTCCAGTCTTGTGGTACATAGATATCAATAAATTGTATGTTTTGGTTTTCAACAACTGATATATGGTGTGTTGTGTTCCAAATGGCGATCCATCTGTATTAAAAAGTCCCACAAGATCTTCACTTTCTTATTTTCAACAACTTTTTCCACTTTATGTTCCCATGCTTTTCCGGACACAGGTAAGTCATATTTTTTTACATAATGACCAATGAATTAATTTAGCAACTTGGTCATGTCTAGCTTTGCCATCAATTTGCACAATTTTGCTGCACTCACATATTAAATGTGAAACAGTTTCAACTTTTGTCATTGCAGTTTGTGTTGTCAGTGGATTTTTGTAGCTGGTTTGTAGTGCTTGGTCTTGAACAGCAAGTATTAAACCTTCCGTTTCTTTCTTGATGGTTCCCATCTTAACCCATCTCCGTGTCAAGTTGTTATCACATTTTCCTTCAATATTTTTCAAGTGCTGTACATGTAAAGCTTTGGTTTTCCATCTATTTAATCTGTCATCCATCTGTTTTTCCTTATATTCTGTTTAGTTTTTGTTGTTTTAATAATGTTCTCCATTTTCACAGTCTGCAGCAATTTTTTTGTTATTATTAGTATTGGTAGTATTGGTAGTATTGGTATTAGTATTATTTTCTGTTTTCAAGTCAGCATTGACTCCTGGCAAGATTTCAGAAGTGGCTCGTCATTGCCTCTTTCCTAGGGCTGAGAGAGAGTGATTGGCCATGGTCACCCAGCTGGTTTGTGCCTACACAGCAGAGGTGATATTCAGCAGGTTCTGACCAGTTCTGGAAAACTGGTAGCAGAAATTTAAGTAGTTTGAAGAACTGGTAAATGCCACCTCTGACTGGCCCCGCCCCCATCTATTCTCTGCCTCCCGAGTCCCAGCTGATTGGGAGGAAATGGGAATTTTTCAGTAACCTTCCCCTGGAGTGGGATGGGAATGGAGATTTTACAGTATCCTTCCCCTGGAGGGGGGAGAAAATTGAGATTTTACAGTATCCTTCCCCTGGACTGGGGAGAAAATGGGTATTTTGCAGTAATCTTCCCTTGGAGTGGGATGGGAATGGAGATTTTACAGTATCCTTCCCGTGGAGTGGGGTGGAAATGGAGATTTTACAGTATCCTTCCCCTGGAGGGGGGAGAGAATTGAGATTTTACAGTATCCTTCCCCTAGAGTGGGGTGGGAATGGAGATTTTACAGCATTCTTTCCCTGGAATGGGGAGAGAATTGAGATTTTACAGTATCCTTCCCCTGGACTGGGGAGAAAATGGGTATTTTGCAGTAACCTTCCCTTGGAGTGGGATGGGAATGGAGACTTTACCGTATCCTTCCCCTGCCAAGCCCACCAAGCCATGCCCACAGAACCGCTGGTAAAAAAAAAAAATTGAATACCACCACTGCTAAATAGGACTAGAATTTATTTATTTGTTAAACTTATTTGCCACCTATCTTCACAGTCTCCAGTTTTCTAATCTGGTGCCTTAACCTCTACATCAGGCTGGCTTTGTTGAGCAATCAGCTCTCATTTTAACCTCACAACAACTTGCAAGGTTGCTCTGAGATTTATTCACGGTTAATATTTTTGGGCAGATCGTTGAATCTGGAATCAGAGGCAGCAGGGATCAGAAATGAAAACAGGCAATGTCGTGCTGATATAGCCTTCCACTGATTCAAGGAAGAGTGCAGAGGATTTCAGCTCAGGAGTGAGGGAAAGCTCCAAGCCAAACAAAGAACAGGAGATAATTACTGTATTGTAGGTATTATTAATAAACCAAAGTAAAATAACTCAATGGAAGGCCTCCACTTATAAAAGACCAACAGAACATCAGGACACTGGTTCATCAAGAAGAGATACTCACCTTTCTACAAAGCCTTTGATATCCTGTGGAAAGAAATAGTAAGAATGATCAGAGAAAGGCCAGCTGTTAAGAATAGTTTCCTGTCTTCTTAATCCCATTCCTTTAAACTGGGCTCACCAAAATTCATCTAATGGAAGAAAGAGGAATGCCACCATCTTTCCCGTTGAATTGTGGAATCATTGGGCTCTTGAAGATCTTCTAGTCCAATCCTCTAGCCCAGGGGTCAGCAACCTTAAACACTCAAAGAGCCATTTGGACCCGTTTCCCACACAAAAGAAAGCACCGGGAGCCACAAAGGTTCTAATCAGAAGCCCCACATTCAATTCTGGAGCTGATCGGAAGACACCATAGAGTCTCCTCCTAATGTGGCATCCTTTTTCCTCTACCTGTCCTAACTGAAAGCCTTATCAATTGTGGAGCTGACTGGAAAACCCACTCCTTGCCATAGAGTCTTCTCCTGGCACATTGTCCCCACACACACACACAACCCAGAGGCTCCTCCCAAAATTGTGGCACTGACTGGCGACAGGGAGCCACAGAGGGATGAAAGAGCCACATGCGGCTCCAGAGCCACGGGTTTCTGACCCCTGCTCTAGGCAGAGTAGGAATTGGACAAAGAGTTGGACAATTACTTGTCCAACCATTGCTTGCAAACCTGCATGATGGAGCTCCACACCTCCAAAGGACAATCTGTTCCCCTGTTTAATTGCTCTTATGGTGAGGAAACGTCCTCCTTATTTTGAGTTTGGTTGTCTCCATATACTGTAAAGCTTCCACCCATTGGTTCGTCTCCTACCTTGGCGGCTGGGGATAATGAATCTATACCCTCTTCTCTGTGATAGACTTTCAAGTGTTCAAAGACAAATTAGTGGAGAATAAATATATTTTTTTGGCAGGAAGATCACACAACAGAGGGAGACTTGCTTAGATGGCAACTTTTTAAGGCTTAGGAAGATTCTTTGGAAAGCAAATACTAAGTTGGCTTAAAAATCAACCCTACTGATAAATGCAATGCAAAAAGCCTTGAGTTAGGTGAAAGGAAAACTGCATGTGATCTTGAATACTGGAGATACATAGGTAAGTCCTTGATTTATAGCAATAGCACTCAGAGTTATATACCATTGCACAGTGCTTTTACAGCCTCTCTAAGCAGTTTACAGAGTCAACGTATTGCCCCCAACAATCTGGGTCCTCATTTTAACCAACCTCAGAAGGATAGAAAGCTGAGTCAACCTTGGGCCGGTGAGAATCGAACTGCAGAACTGCTGGCAGCTGGCAGTCAGCAGAAGTAGCCTGCAGTACTGCACTCTAACCACTGCACCACCACGGCACAATTAGGACTGTAAAATCCATTGTTAAGCGGTGTGAACCCTAAGCCAGGCATCATGTGGCCACACCCAATCGCACAACTTTTTTTCCCCTCCTGGTCATTAAGTGCGACATCATATGGCCACAAATTGCAACTAATTCCCCGTTGATTTTGCTTGTCAGAGATGCTGCTGGGAAGATGGCAATTGGCTATCACATGTCAGTGGGATACTGCAACCATGATAAAACTGGTAGCCAAGGGACCAGGTAGCATTGCTGTGACTGCAGGACTGCTGCAACCAGGGGTGGGTTTCTCCCCCCATTCCAACCGGATCGGTTGGAACGAGGCCGGCGGCGTCCTCACGCACGCACGCAGCGTCCTCATGCACGCACGCGGCTCGCGCTTGCGTACTAGCGTCTGCGCGATGCTCCAGCTGCTCCTGGAGGATCGCGCAGGCGTTCTGCGCATGCGTGGAAAGCGCGAAATTCAAAAAACCAGGTAAGGAGCGGGCGCGGGTGAGCGGGCGCGGGGGGGCGGGCGTGGGGGGGGCTTCGCCATTCCCAGAAGTTACTTACTTCCGGGTTCGGCGACCAACCGGATCGCAGGGACCGGTGTGAACCGGTCGAAACCCAGCCCTGGCTGCAACCATTGTAACTGCGAGGACCAAGCTGTAAGTTACTTTTTTTTAGCCTCACTGTAACTTTGAACAGTCGCTATGAGCCGCGGTGGCGCAGTGGTTAGAGTGCAGTACTGCAGGCTACTTCTGCTGACTGCCGCTGACTGCAATTTGGCAGTTCAAATCTCACCGGGTTCAAGGTTGACTCAGCCTTCCACCCTTTCCAAGGTGGGTAAAATGAGGATCCAGATTGTTGGGGACAATATGCTGATTCTATAAAGTGCTTAGAGAGGCTGTGAAGCGGTATATAAGTCTAAGTTGCTATGGCTTGAGAAATGCACTGACCTTAAGGAAGCTTTCGGAGTCCGGTTCCATTGCAAGCCGAGCCTGGATTTTAGCTATTTGCTCATTGGCTGTGCGGATTTGCTCTTGGCTGTTCCTCTGGTTCCTGTCCAGTTCACTCAGAAGCAGTTTTTCCTCTCTCTGGATCTCTCTGATCAGCGCAGCCTCCTTCTCCTGAAGCCACTGATGGAGCTCCATGAATTGGGCAGAGACATTCTGCTCCAGACGCAGCCGTTGGGCCTCGGGAGGAGAAGGAAGAGGAATGTATGAGATCCCCACCACCTCTGCTTTTAGAAAGTACTGTACATCAAGGAGGCCCCTTCGAGTTGCCCTGTGGCGTACTTTACTGGAAAATAAAGTCAAGTCTCCAACTAAATCAAGCTCCAACTAAATCAAGCTTCCAATCATATGGGCTCATTTGTGACATTTCTTTGAATAATACGGACTTTTTTTTAACCTGCTGCTAGGTTTTTTTTTAACTTTTCTGTCTAATTTGACATTTTTGGTGGTCTCCCATCAGATACTAACCAGTCCCAACCATACAAATGTTTATATATCTATGATCTCTCCATTCATGCATCCAGCTATCTATCTATCTATCCATCTATCTATCTATCTATCTATCTATCTATCTATCTATCTATCTATCTATCTATTTATCCATCCATCCAGCTATCTATCTATCTATC